ACTGTATAATGATAACAACTATACAGTAACAGTACATATTTTTTTTTTTAACACGTCGGTCATTTCCCACTGAGGCAAGATGGCCCAAAAAGAAAGGAAAAAAAAACTTTCATCATTGTTCAACACTTTCACCATCATTCAAACATAATAACTGTCTTTGCAGAGGTGCTCAGATACAACAGTTTAGATGCCCCTCTAAACAGCCAATATCTCAAACTCCTCCTTTAAAGTGCAGGCATTGTACTTCCCACCTCCAGGACTCAAATCCAGTTAACCAGTTTCCCCTGAATCCCTTCACGAAATATTACCCTGCTCACACTCCAAACAGCTTGTCAGGTCCCAAAAATCATTCGTCTCCATTCACTCCTATCTAAAACAAACACAAACACACACAAAAACAGAGTCTGCTGTAGGTCCAAGCCCCTTGCACACAAAACCTCTTTTACCCCCTCCCTCCATCCTTTCATAGGATGACCTCTTCCCCTCCTCCTCTCCATTAGAGATTTATACACCCTCCAAGTTATCCTGTTTTGCTCCATCCTCTCTAAATTGTGAATTTATGCCAATTAAAATTTTGCCAAACTCTTAATTGTGAAATGCTGTACACAGTATTTCACAAAATGCACATTGAAAATTAATAATGAATGCAATCCAAACAAATTTATTAAAAAATTATCAATAACCAATTTTATTAAAAGTTTAACTTTGATAAAGACAGACTTCCTATTATGTACATTATATTGCCATCACAATTGTAACTAAAAGGTATATTTCTTATTCTGTCACTATGGTAAACCATGTGTCCAATGTCATGTACAAGTACAAGTTTTATCATTTTTACACTACATAACTACAAGTTTGGAGGGATATGTTATATATTTTTATATATGCTTCTAAACTGTTGTATCTGGGCACCTCTGCAAAGACAGTGATTATGTATGAGTAAAGTGAAAGTGTTGAATGATGATGAAAGTATTTTCTTTTTGGGGATTTTCTATCTTTTTGAGTCACCCTGCCTCAGTGGGAGACGGCCGACTTGTTGAAAAAAAAAAAAACTGCAAAATCAGCATGCCAACTCATGCCTGCATAACTTGACATGGGCCCTATCGCTTATGTCAGTTCCACAGAATATAACTAACATATATATACACTATACATTTGCTGAACATAATGCATATGCAGTAAGGCGTGAAACATGAGGCTACATCAACAACAGTTTAGTTAAAACTTAATTAACATTATTTTTCTAATCCACGCTAACCCCAAGAGCCCTCCTCCTCCCCCCTCCTTCCCAGATTTAAAATACAAAACACATACAGCACATTTCTAATGAACTGACTACAGATTATGACAATGTGATCAAGAATGAAATGAATCCTTTTGTAAACTAAAGTAAAAAATAATACAAATATTTATAACTGAAAGGGATCTATATTCTATAATACATATTTTTTACACAAATATTTATGAAATGATTAATGCATGTTTATGAGCTCCTATGCAAGAATGGTGTGTTCCTGATAGGATAACAATTTTCTTAACTAGATTAGCTAACATGGTATTGTGGAGTGGTCTGCTAGATCCCCAGTCGAAAGTGTGTGAAGTGAATATCAGAGACACTGATCATCTAATGCAAGACATAATTGAGACATTACATAACTAAAATGCATGTGCTGGTTAATAGATAATTTATTACAACAGGTTCATACGAACTTCCAAGCACACATTAACCAATGCATAAAGGTTTGTTGTTCACATTTTGAACAAATGCTGCAACAACAATACTGAGTAAAGATTATTTTCTTGCCCTAAGTCTCCACACTTTGTGGCCATCCTATATTAATTCTGCCAGCCTATTAAGAAAAAACACTACAGTACAGGTACTTTTAGTTCTTTGATTAAATGAACTGTCATCATTGCTTGATATTCCTTGGAAACTTCCATCGATGGAAATAACTAATGATTAGCTACTAAGAATTCGTAGTTTGGAAGTTAGGAGGAGGTGCGGGATTACCAAAACTGTTGTCCAGAGGGCTGAGGAAGGGTTGTTGAGGTGGTTCGGACATGTGGAGAGAATGGAGCGAAACAGAATAACTTCAAGAGTGTATCAGTCTGTAGTGGAAGGAAGGCGGGGTAGGGGTCGGCCTAGGAAAGGTTGGAGGGAGGGGGTAAAGGAGGTTTTGTGTGCGAGGGGCTTGGACTTCCAGCAGGCATGCGTGAGCCTGTTTGGTAGGAGTGAATGGAGACAAATGGTTTTTAATACTTGACGTGCTGTTGGAGTGTGAGCAAAGTAACATTTATGAAGGGTTCAAGGAAACCGGCAGGCCGGACTCGAGTCCTGGAGATGGGAAGTACAGTGCCTGCACTCTGAAGGAGGGGTGTTAATGTTCCAGTTTAAAAACTGTAGTGTAAAGCACCCTTCTGGCAAGACAGTGATGGAGTGAATGATGGTGAAAGTTTTTCTTTTTCGGGCCACCCTGCCTTGGTGGGAATCGGCCAGTGTGATAATAAATAAATAAAATAGCTACTAAGATAAATAACAGATTCTGACTAAAGAACGAAATTCATCTATGATAGCTGCTGATTGTGTCAATTCAAATAACCCTCTGAACTGGTGAGGAGAAACCAATTTTTTATTTTTTTTTTACAGCTAACTTTTCAGCAAAAATATATGTAATTTGAGGTTACCTAAACCATGACACAGATCAAGGAGGTATTTGTATACATTTGACCAATAAACATTTAATTGAAATTTCTGAGAGCCTCACTTTCTGAGAATGAAATAGATAAGTATCTATAAATCTCTGATAATTCTTAGACTTTTTGATCATGCTTTCACAACACATCTCTAGTTAAATTGAGTCCAACCTTTCAAAAGAGGTTGAAAATATAACATTAAAAAGAGACGAGCTAATGTGCTTCAAACAGTTTACAAGTCATATGCATGCAGGCAGGTTTTACATGATTTTGATACTTCTGTCAATGCATTTCATACAGTAATGACAGTTTAAATAAGACCATTCCCAGAATTTTTTTTATTCAGTGATTGACAAAGTGTTTCTGACAACCATAGAAGTGAGCTCAGTGATGCCCCATAAAAGTTTTTATGCACTAAAATGCTCAGACCTGTTGTGGAAATTGAGCATTATTATCAAATGATTACTGTATGTTGCACTCTAAGAATGACACTAGAATATGAAAATATAAAACATTAGGACTAAGGTTAGCATGTTTATCCTTGTCAACACAACAGAAAATCATATTGTCCAGGGATGCTAAATCGTCTAATAAAGAAAAGCCATATCATCTGAGGTCAGAAAGACCAGAACCTGTGACCAACAAGTACTTTATAAAGGAGAACCACTGTGTCTAATGAGCAACCTAGTAAGATATACCAGTACCATATATTTTCCAGTATAGGTTGAGGCTCTAAGCAAAAAGTTGGCAAAATAGTAGTTTATTTATTCACTGGTAATATTTTGTGGAGTTAAAAACTCCAAACATAACCCCTACATTAAAGAATACAAGGATAAAGGATTATCATTATTATAATCAAAGCAAGTGCTAAACCTGAAAGGGCCCTACAGTGCTGCAGGGATAAGGAGAAAAGAGCACTGCAATATTTCTACTGGCTATGTAGGCAGATCTTATCCATGTATTCCGCTTGACTATCACAAAACTTTTGGTAGGCTGAAATCCTCAGTACTCTTCATATCTTCTGTTTCATTTTCTTCATGTGACTTTATTGGTGCAACTGACTAGTGTTTGGATAAAAACAGGCACAACCATCTCCTATACCTCTAAGCTATACCTCTCCTATATACAAACAAAACTAGGGGACAATTGCAGTAAGCCTACTGGCCCAGGCTAAGTAGGTCCAACTCGCATTATTATAATCATGGAGAAGCGCTAAACCTGTAGGGATTATACAGCGCCAGGTTCAACTGTCAATCAAACATTTACACCCACCTTAAAGATGCCTATCAGTATCAATGATGCTACTTGGCAGTTTGTTCTGATGTGAAATAGGAATTCCTGTTTGGTAATATTAAAACAGCTTATTTACACCAGTGACTTGAGTATTTAGTACAGATGTTAACCGTCATCCCTTAAACTGTGGACTGCAGCCTCCACAGGGGCTATGAACAAGCCACTGTATGGGTGGGGCTTGAACCCTCGGCAAAAGAGTTGTAAAACTCCAGGCCAGCGCATAAGCTACTTGGCCAGCCCCTCATGATGATGGCTTGGAGGAGACTTGAGCCAGAGTTCATCATAGCTACACTGACAGGAGATTCATCTGTAAAAACTTGCATTTGTGGTCACAGTGGGACCCATGCTAACCTCCCTATGGTGTATAAATATATACTTAGTTGGGCGAATCTTACTGTAGCCAGCTGGCCCAGAGGCTTACGCACGGGCCTGGAATTTTACGACTTGCCGCAAGTTCAAGTCCTACCTGTACAGTGGTTTGTTTGCAATCGTGTTAAATTGATTTTGTGACCTATGAACAAGGTAAACCCTATACAACTAGTGAATCATCTGGCATGTTGGCCAAGAAACACTGCCCCAAAAGCACCAACAAATTAATTGCAATATTTATTAGTATTAAGCATCAGGGAGACAACCGACTTGTTGAGAGAGAGAGAGAGAGAGAGAGAGAAAAAAAAAAATCTATTTTTTTACAGAGCTGACTGGAAAGCCACCAGAACTTTGTCTTATGACCAAAACTGAAATGAAATGCCATTTGATAACTGATTAGTACTGAATAATTAAGAAAAAATATCAATTTAAACTCACTTTTTGTTAAGAATTTAGTTTCTTAGTTTGAAAATACAGAAGAGAACAACTAGCTCTAACTACTCCCTCTTGCAGATGCTTGTCTTTGTAAGTTGTATACAGTATATATCCTGTAATTCTGGGGTTTTCTTCTCATGGCTGTCTTCCTATGTATTTATTTAAATTAGATTTATGATATTTGGAATCCTGTAATTATACTGCACTTGATCAACATATTTTATTAAAGCTATTTATTTGGCCATAATGAAATACCTGTATAATGTCAGACTAATACTGCACCCACAGTTAAAGTTGATTAATAAAAAAAATTATAGTAAATCTGAGTACATCATGTATGCCTTCCTTCACAAGCAGTCACTGTGGTTAACATAGTTCACTTTGAATGAAAATGGCTTGTCAAACACTAAGGCAAATCATTATGGTGAAGTAAACTCTCGATATCAAGGACTAATATGGGGGATTGTTCAATCAGAATGTCTAGAAAAATTAGGTGCTTTAATGTATACCTAATATAGTACAGTACACAATTTACAGTTATATTAGAATAAGCATTGAAAATAAAGGAATTAAAAGTACAATTTACCCAGTATATTTTGCTCATTTGTTCTTCGATAGTCACCACTAATCAGTGTGGAATGGCTACTTAACACAGACCAATTGACATATGGAATGAAATGACATGTGGAATGACTTTACATACATTAAAATTAAAAATACTCTCAACCCCATCATCTTTGAAAAAATTATTCAGGGTACAACATTTACAAACTTTCTTACAATGACATATATTGTATTTACTACTTTACACAAGAAAATTTTCTTGCCATGCTAAATGAAATTTTCATTATGTTGTGTTAGTAAAAAATGCACTGTTAAATACAAAAATATATGACCAAACATCAGAAAATTCCTAAACCAGACTCCACAAAAAAATTATTTCAAATTGAAAAGGCATTCGAATATATTTTTTTTAACACTGCTGAAAAGAAGGCTAACCTTTTCCTCAGCTGCACTATTATTAATAAACATTTATGACAATTCACTATATAAGATGCATTTTAAATATATTAAGTTTTCTCATATCAGTGTTATCACAAGAGCTTCAAAACTACACCCAGTATCCTGTTTATTCTTCTGCATCAAATCTTATCTGTCACAACACGATGCAATTACAACAAATTTTCCATTATGTATGACGAGTGGAAAAGCATCTTCAGTGTGAAAATATAAAGTGATTATCAATAAAAATTAGGCTAGAAAATTAGTTTACATCTCATCATCTTCATAACTTAATTCAGGAAAGTCTCCTACTTCACAACATGCTGGCCGGGTGAAACCTCCATACTTCATTGGAGCATCAAAATAGCGTTTGCCACCAATGCTGCAAAATGGAATTTAAATTATACTTGTGCACAAAATGTTTCAGTAACCATTACACAAAATTCTAATTTAGTATTCAAATTTTTCATCATAACTAAACTAAATCCCTCTATGAGGGTAAATTCTAACTCAAAATTATCATAACTCAAGCTCACTGTAACTTAAGATACCACTGTACTAAACCCACTGAAGTTTTTGTTTTTAACATAAGCTATTGCCTACCATGGCAAAGGTGAACCAAAGAAGAAAATGCACCATTATTCATTCTACCATTTCTTGCCATACCTATCTACTCATTATGCATGCTTTTACATGCTTCTGTGATAAATCTAAATACAGTGGACCCTGACCTAACGAACGCATCGCATAACATTAAATCCGGCTAGCGATACAGTTTAACGCAAAAATTTTGCCTCGGCTAGCGCTAAAAAACTCGCCCAACGCGATTCGTTCCGTTCGAGACGCGTCCTCTTGCGGCCTGAGCGCGCCTCACTTGTCCCGTGGGTGCCAGTGTTTACAAGCCAGTCACCATGGTCGCATCCAAACATACAATCGGAACATTTCATATTATCACAGCGTTTTTAGTGATTGCACCTGCAAAGTAAGTCACCATGGGTCCCAAGAAAGCTTCTAGTGCCAACCCTACAGCAAAAAGGGTGAGAATTACTATGGATATGAAGAAAGAGATCATTGCTAAGTATGGAAGTGGAGAGCGTGTCTCCGAGCTGGCCAGGTTGTACACAAAACCCCAATCAACCATCGCTACTATTGTGGCCAAGAAAATGGCAATCAAAGAAGCTGTTCTTGCCAAAGGTGCAACTTTGTTTACGAAACAGAGATCGCAAGTGATAGAAGATGTTGAGAGACTGCTATTGGTGTGGATAAATGAAAAACAGACAGCAGGAGATTGCATCTCTCAAGCGATCATATGTGAAAAGGCTAGGAAGTTGCATAACGATTTAATTAGAAAAATGCCTGCAACTAGTGGTGATGTAAGTGAATTTAAGGCCAGCAAAGGTTGGTTTGAGAGATTTAAAAATCACAGTTGCATACTTATTTTTTATTATCACACTGGCCGATTCCCACCAAGGCAGGGTGGCCCGAAAAAGAAAAACTTTCACCATCATTCACTCCATCACTGTCTTGCCAGAAGGGTGCTTTACACTACAGTTTTTAAACTGCAACATTAACACCCCTCCTTCAGAGTGCAGGCACTGTACTTCCCACCTCCAGGACTCAAGTCCGGCCTGCCGGTTTCCCTGAACCCCTTCATAAATGTTACTTTGCTCACACTCCAACAGCACGTCAAGTATTAAAAACCATTTGTCTCCATTCACTCCTATCAAACACGCTCACACATGCCAGCTGGAAGTCCAAGCCCCTCGCACACAAAACCTCCTTTACCCCCTCCCTCCAACCTTTCCTAGGCCGACCCCTACCCCGCCTTCCTTCCACTACAGACTGATACACTCTTGAAGTTATTCTGTTTCGCTCCATTCTCTCCACATGTCCGAACCATCTCAACAACCCTTCCTCAGCCCTCTGGACAACAGTTTTGGTAATCCCGCACCTCCTCCTAACTTCCAAACTATGAATTCTCTGCATTATATTCACGCCACACATTGCTCTCAGACATGACATCTCCACTGCCTCCAGCCTTCTCCTCGCTGCAACATTCATCACCCATGCTTCACACCCATATAAGAGCGTTGGTAAAGCTATACTCTCATACATTCTCATACAGTTGCATACATAGTGTGATAAGGCATGGTGAGGCTGCCAGTTCGGACCAAAAAGCAGCTGAAAAATATGTGAAGGAATTCAAGGAGTACATAGACAGTGAAGAATTGAAACCTGAACAAGTGTTTAATTGTGATGAAACAGGCCTGTCTTGGAAGAAAATGCCAACCAGGACCTACATTACTCAGGAGGAAAAGGCACTCCCAGGACATAAGCCTATGAAAGACAGGCTTACTCTGTTGATGTGTGCTAATGCTAGTGGTGATTGCAAAGTGAAGCCTTTATTGGTGTATCACTCAAACTCCCAGTGTTCAGGAAAAACAATGTCCTCGAGGCTAATTTGTGTGTGCTGTGGAGGGCAAACAGTAAGGCATGGGTCACTAGAGACCTTTTCTATGACTGGTTACACCATGCATTTGCCCCCACTGTGAAAAATTACCTTCTGGAAAATAAATTGGACCTTAAGTGCCTCCTGGTATTAGACAATGCTCCTGGTCATCTTTCAGACGTGACAGCGTGACTTTCTGGGGACATGAGCTTCATTAAGGTCATGTTTTTGCCTCCTAATACCACTCCTCTCCTGCAGCCCATGGACTAGCAGGTCATTGCAAACTTCAAAAAACTCTACACAAAAGCTATGTTTGAAAGGTGCTATGTAGTGACCACAGAAACTCAATTGACTCTTAAGAGAGTTTTGGAGAGATCACTTTAGCATCCTCGAATGTGTAAACATTATAGGTAAGGCTTGGGAGGAAGTGACTAAGAGGACCTTGAACTCTGCTTGGAAGAAACTATGGCCAGAATGTGTAGACAAAAGGGATTTTGAAGGATTTGAGGCTAACCCTGAGAAGCCTATGCCAGTTGTGGAATCAATTGTGGCATTGGGGAAGTCCTTGGGGTTGGAGGTTAGTGGGGAGGATGTGGAAGAGTTGGTGGAGGAGGACAATGATGAACTAACCACTGATGAGCTGCAAGATCATCTTCAACAGCAAGAGGCCAGACCTGAGGAAACTGCTCCAGAGGAGGGGATAGAGAAATTGAGGAAGTTGCCAACTTCGAAGATTAAGGAAATGTGTGCAATGTGACTTAAAGTGCAAACCTTTTTTGATGAAAATCACCCTCACACAGCTATTGCAAGCCATGCTGGTGACTATTACACTGACAATGTTGTGAAACACTTTAGGAATGTCATAAAGGAATGGGAGGCACAGGCCTCTATGGACAGATATGTTGTGCAACAGAGGTCCAGTGACTCAAGCTGGTCCTAATGGCATTAAAAGAAGAAGAGAAGTAACCCCGGAAAAGGACTTGACATCTCAAGTCCTAATGGAAGGGGATTCCCCTTCTAAACATTAACACCATCCATTCTCTCCCCTCCCATCCCATCAATCATCACCAGATCTTCAATAAAGGTAAGTGTACATGTCTTCTTCAGTTTGTGTGTATTAAAATTAATATTTCATGTGGTAAAATTTTTTTTTTCATACTTTGGGGTGTCAGGAATGGATTAATTTGATTTCCATTATTTCTTATAGGGAAAATTAATTCGGCTGACGATAAATTCGCCTAATGTTGAGCTCTCAGGAATGGATTAATATCGTTAGGCGAGGGTCCACTGTACAAATATTAAAGAATGTATTAAAAATATCTGAAATTTATAAGATTACTTTAGATGCCACAGATGGTATCAAACACTGACATATGTAAACAAGACAGGTGCTGAACTAGGACATTTACTGTGGAAATGTTTTGCTCACTGACAGCTTTGTCAATCCAACCGAGTGACAAAGATCACAGGGTGTAAAATATTTCCATAAAGTCCTAGTGCTTAACTTAGTCTTATTTACACACCATATTAATAAAATTTTTAACACTAGAAAAATATAAAAATTAGCAGCAGCATCAAAGTTCAACAATAATTACAATGCAAAAGTGATTAGAATACTACTAGTAGCAAAAAATATAAAATAAGAAATAAAATATTTTTTTATGAGAAAAGCAAGCAAAGGAAGCTAATAATCTCAAAATGCATTAAGAGAAAGAAAACATACAATACAGTATACAGAAATGTCATTAGTGGAAGCAAGGTTTAAAGGGAGGTAAGCTAATTAAGATTAGAGTTCAAACAGTTTTTAAAACATTTTGTAAAAGCTAGAGCAATTAAAGTGACCAATCCTCTCAGCTGATTACTGTACTGTCTTAGACAACACCAGGACTTATCCCATTTTACCCAACCTTTTTGGCCAAGGACACAAAATAGGAAGCATAAAATTTAGATCAAATTACTCTTTTTTTTTTTTTTTTTTTTACCTTCCATCATTTTTGCCGTGAGGCTCATCATACTTGACGCCCACCCATATGCCTGGCTTGAAGTGCACCTTCCCAACATACATGATTTCACCGCGACGCGTAGGTTCTCCCAGGACTTTTACCTAAAAAGTAAGAAAAGAAACATTAACTGATTCTGCACATAATAAATGCCATTTTATTTATATAACGTCTGTATTAGATCAAATAAACTCATGCAAGTGCTGGTACAGTACCACATATTACTAGTCATAGTCAAGGTTTTTTATGAAATAAATGCTGTATGCTTAAAGTAATTGTCCACCATACCACAAAAACAATTCGTAATATATCACTGCATGTTATTAATACTGAGTTGAAGGGTTGCAATGGCCGAAGTAACAGCCATTTCAATCTCTCAACCCAACAATACCCAACTGTAAGCCATCCTAACTTTTCAACCCAACTAACATATGCTGTATCCTTAGGAATTCCACAATTCATGTTAAAGTTACTGCTCAGTACATGCTTAAATACAGCCTTCTCCTCACTGCAACATTCATCACCCATGCTTCACACCCATTAAGAAGAGAACTAGAGAAAAAATTTTGTTGGTAGATCTTTAAGTGTAATTTTAGTCAATTCCAAGAGCACACATTTTAGGAAGTTCCTCAAAACATAGAACTTCGGACCCTCCCACAAATGGTTATTTCAGAGAACAAGACAACAGTTTTCAATAAAAAAATTACCCTTACAAAGGATAATAAAGACAAGTTATGACATACCTCGCAGCGACTTCCAACAGTAATTTTTGAGGCTTTCTCCTCCTCTTCTCTCTCAAGAGCCCTTTTCTGCTCTTCAAGCTTTTGTTGTTCCTCTTCATTATATTTACCCAGTTTGTTCTTCACCATAAATGCACGTACACTTTCTGTGTAATGTGATACAAAATATGTTACTGAAATCTTTGAATATTGTGATTAGAATTTACCTCTACATGCAGTTATATGACTGGATACCATTTAGAATTCATGAAACAATTACTCTACTCTGGCCTCTGAAATTAATGAATCTATACAGCTGGCTTGCAATAACTCTCACTATACGTAAGTCACAAATGAGGTGTATTTAATCATTTCTTTTTATGAATCAAATGCAAATGTTACAGTTAAAAACTATTAATGCAAAGCTTGCATCAATGGCTAACCATTTCGTTTGCTGTATTCTTCTTCAGATAATTCATATTTCTCAACCTTTGACACGTCCTCAAATTCTCCCATTTTTTTGGAATTATCCGTAACCTGAGAAAGATAAACAAGGCCCAGAATTACTGTGCTGCCACTCTAAACATATTCAGGTTAATTTTTTTTTCAACAAACCAGCCACCTAAAAAGAAAAACAAGAGTGTCTTTTTTTGAATTCAGTAATTTATACAGGAGAAGGGTTTTTTTAAGTTAATTATCTTTTAAAAATAAAGAAAATGTAGCACAGTACCCCTATTGTAAACCCAATTTTCAAAATCATACAAATAATACTGCCCCAGAGTAACTAACACAGTACAGATTACACTGACTTCACTACTCAAGGGGCCTTGCTAATAACAATAAAAATAATAATAATAATAAAAATAATATTTTATTTCAACATGATACACATTTGTACAAAGGAATATAATAGTTAGGTGTACATGCCAAAAGCCCTTTTTATATACATACAGTTGCCATGTCATGACCAAGACACCTTAAATGAGAGAGTGCAACCATACTCAACCCTTTAATGTGATGCTTTTCTTTTACTTCACAGGCTTCATACCACACGAGTCTAACAACTTAACTACTTGTATATGGTATATCCTTAGTTTCTTAATGCAACCCATGACTTTCTCCAGATAACCTACTTTTTTCTAACCATTATCAATACCACACACACTTTTTTTTTAATTTTCAATTACAGCTTAGTATTGCAAAACTATTTAACTGACATAATTGTTTTGAAGATTGTCTTGTTTAAGGTTATTACTGACTTAAAAAAAATTATCAGATAAAGATGCAAAGTTCTGTACATGCCATCACCTCTTTTGAGCACAATATGTCCTTTAGTATTTCAACTATGGGAATGTACTTTGCAGTACAGTACAGTATAGTAGAGTACTATATTTAACATTCTTCACCCTTTACCAATGATCTACCATTTCAAAACTTACATGAATACGGTAGTTTTCTTCCACATTAAAGGATCCTAAAAGAGCAGAATCATCACCATTCAGGGTACAAACTAGTTTGTCATTGTCATCAAAAACTTCCAGAATCATTGATCCAGCAGAGGCTCCAGTTACAAGCTCAAGCCGACCCTGTAAGAAATATCAGTTTATACACGATTTGCCATTATCCAACAAAATTTGTTATAGGTGACAAGTTTACCCTGTTGTCTTTACTGGCTGGTTTTCTCAAGACCTTGACTTTATGGGTTTTAAGCTTTTTTTATATAAAGTTACCTTGAAGGGAGTGAGGTTTCTATTTTCTTCCCCTATAAGGCAAACAATATACGACTCCACCTTACTCCATCTCTAAAGCATTGTAAAGTAACTGACAGTAATTAACAAAGTATTTCAGGGAAGCTGAATAATGCTGAGCTATCTATTTATTGTGCTCTGAAGGAAGAAATAGAAAATTTCCTCCCTTTGTTTGATAAATTGACAATACACTACATCAACACAAATCCAAGGTCTACAAAAAACCAAGTAACAAAAGATAATCTGATGCGCTACTTGCATGACAAACCAAATGCATGTTCCATATAGGTTTCTTTCTCAGGATACACAGTACTTGTCAAAAATATACATATACTAAACCGAAGTCTCCTTGATATTTCATTAAGTGAAGCAGAGAAGAAAGCAGAGATGCTGCATAAATTCTTTAGACAATAAAGTGAACACAGAGGAATTCTTTTTCCACAAGGTTCCCATCACCACCTTCAATTCACTCATATCAAGTAGCACTTGAGATTACTACCCAAACAACTGACAATATTAGGGCAACTACCAAAGCAAAAGAGATTTTTATTGGTGGCTACACCATTCCTGCACCATACAAATGGATTTAGGAGCATTAGATATCCTCAGTGCACAAAACACTAACAATGTGCATATAATCCACTACAACAAGTATACCCATGTTATGCACTGAAACAATGCCAAATTAGTCATAAAATAGCAAGTCAGACAGGAAAGCCACCGAGACTAATCCAGAGGCAACAGCAGAACAAACTCAAGGGGAGTGTAGTACTTTTCTACCTTTTGCAATATTACTAGTGGATGGGGGCAAAATAATTAATGTTATGCAACACAACCCAATTAATTCCATAGCACAATATCTCACTTTCTAAAGTGGCGTTTGTTGCTCCTCCCACCACCAAATCCTCTACCTCCGTCCCCCTGCTTGTGCTGCAACAGGATATGCAAGCTCTTAAGGATTTTGCTTCTCTTGCCTCTTTTACAAAATACATTAAAACAACCATGATACTCAAATAGTCTTGTTCAAGTCACATTCTTACTGAAAACAACATTTCTTTTGCACAAGCCCTAACTTGTATCTCATTCTCCTACAACCTCGTTACAGCTTCAAACAGGTCTTTACCTATTCCATGTATTGCCAATTCACCCTTTTAGAGTAAATTTTCAATTCTATTAATGGAAAACAAAGCTCCTTTCCTTTATCTTTCTTACATGCTTAAATACAAATTATTTAATCCACACTTCTTCAGTTTGTCAACTCACACTCATTCGTATTCAGTTCTAACCACAATTAGTCAAAATGTTATCTGGTATTTACCTATAATTTTTTTTGTCCCTCTTCCTTTTTATAAAGCACCCACAAATGCTCTCTTCCAACTCTTGGGCATTTCATTTTTTACGTGCATTGAATAAACTTACTATCCATTCCAGAGTAAGCTTCACCTGTACAGTGGACCCCCGCTTAACGATCACCTCCCAATGCAACCAATTATGTAAGTGTATTTATGTAAGTGCGTTTGTACGTGTATGTTTGGGGGTCTGAAATGGACTAATCTACTTCACAATATTCCTTATGGGAACAAATTCAGTCAGTACTGGCACCTGAACATACTTCTGGAATGAAAAAATATCGTTAACCGGGGGTCCACTGTATTTTGTCATTTCCATCCTAAACCCATCCATATCTCTGTTGCTTTCTACTTATAGCTTTTTTCATGCTTTCCATCACTTCCAACTTTTTATATTTAACAAGATCTCATTCCAGACATGAAAGTTTTACCCCTACTTCACCTAAATTTAAATATTCTCAGTGTATAACACCTGCTCATTTAGCATGTCACTATTTTCACTTTTAACAGAGGTCTATTTACTCCTTTGTTTGCTAACATTATATAATACAGTATAAACTTTAAAATTAGAACAGTACACTATATTATAATTAAAATTATGGGTGTACCAAAGTATCAGCAAATATTGGCTAATTCTTATAGTACAGATACCAGTATCATTCAGTGTCTGCTAATTTTGAGGGTATTAGTATTTGCAAAAAATATGGTATCCTATCCCTAATTAAAAAAAAAAAAAAATTCTCAGCTCAAATCAGACTTTTTAACAGTTAATTCTGCAAGGCAACAGCAACTTGAGGAAAGAAACTTACCTTGAGATCACCAATAGTTAAACCACGGTCGTACCGCTTCTCTGACATGAAGCTATTCAGGTTGCTTGTAATGCGTACATTGACCAATGGGGCAGTTATTACTTGGTATTGATCACCCATTGTGTAACAATGTCTGTAATTAAAAAAAAAAACAAACTTGCAAGCAGTAGTTTGGTTAATTTCATTGACAATATTCTAGCCATTAAGTGGAACCTAACATGGGTAACTTTAATCAAATTTAACTTTAGGTACAATGTGTTAATGAGTGAGTTTTCAAACTAAACACAAAAGTTTATAATCACACATTTCAATACCCAAAGTGGGATAAATTTCTCCATATTTTACCTGTAATCTTTAATTAAGGTAAATGAAGACTTCAGAAAAAATGTGCTCCATTACAATTAGGCTACTTACCTGTCCTAACAGGAACACTAGATAGAACAGCCATAAAGTTTCAGGTAAATTTTAAAGGACCCCAATGGAAATAAGTCACTCTGACTTTTTTGGGTTATCCTAGGTTCTCTACACATATGCTATGTATGATAATCTATGTAACTGTATTTGTGTATACCTGAATAAACTTGCTTACTTAGTTACTCTGATTCTATCACTAATTCACTGATACTGTACTACACTTGCTCAGTTTTACCCAGGATCAGGATGTATAGCTCTTGTCTGCCAGAGTTCTGAGCAGGTTAAAATAACTCACATCAGTCAAAAACCCCAAATTAGCAATATAAAAAAAAAAAAACTTCGGCAGAAAGGCCAAAGCCGTGTGCAAAAATATGCAGTAGATAAAATGTACTCCACAGTCAGCTGCATGCCACAAGACAACAGAGGGGAATAGTAGTATGTGAAAACAGGCAGTTATGAAAAAGCTTGTATGGAAGTGGTAATCTGACTTTGTGGATTAATGCAACTGGGCTGGTAACGTTAAGAGCCTGGAAGCACTTATTAGAGTCAAAGAACAGAACAGAAAAAACACCTGGTGTGTTCATGGAATGCTACGCATATGTTAAATGACCATTTTGAATTTAATTCTCCAATTTATATATTTTGGAAAAGACAGGGTGTATAGTATTTACTTAAGCTGCTGGGATTTCAGCGTAAACATGGGCTATTCAACTAACCTGACCTATATTTTGAGTTAACTTCTAGGTTATACTTTTTTTTTTTTGTAACAAAAAAAAATTCTTATCCCCATAGATCCAACATATAACTGTTTTGATTACACAGACATTATAATACAGTGGACCCCCGCATAACGATTACCTCCGAATGTGACCAATTATGTAAGTGTATTTATGTAAGTGCGTTTGTACGTGTATGTTTGGGGGTCTGAAATGGACTAATCTACTTCACAATATTTCTTATGGGAACAAATTCAGTCAGTACTGGCACCTGAACATACTTCTGGAGTGAAAAAATATCGTTAACCGGGGGTCCACTGTATTGTAGAATTTACATAATAAGTACAATAAGTTCAAGTCAACAAGGTAGTTACAAATACATTTTATTTCTTAGTGCAGTACAAAAAATGTATGTAGTTTACATGATAATATACATGATAATATACACTTGGAAGGTCCTGGAGGGATTGGTACCAAACCTGCACACGAAAATCACTCCATATGAAAGCAAAAGACTCAGCAGGAGATGCAACATTCCCCCGATGAAAAGCAGGGGCGCCACGAGTACACTGAGAGACAGCACAACAAGTGTCCGGGGCCCAAGACTGTTCAATTGCCTCCCAGGATCCATATGGGGGAGTACCAATAGACCCCTGGCCATCTTAAGAAGGCACTGGACAGGCACCTAAAGTCAGTATCTGGCCAATTGGGCTGTGGTTCGTATGTCAGCTTGCGTGCGGCCAGCAGTAACAGCCTGGTTGATTAGACCCTGATCCACCATGAGGCCTGGTCTCAGACCGGGCCGTGGGGGCGTTGACCCCAAAACCCTCTCCAGGTAAACTCCAGGTAATCAAACACTGGTAAGCACAAAAGAAAGCCACAGTATGCAATGATAATTAATTGTTTTACAATTTGCAACACATGCAACCTATATAGGAGCACAGAATAGGTAATCCTTTCTTGTGGAAACTGTTGTATGTATTGAAAAAATGTAAACTTATACCTAAGTTCTGCTGAGTGGCTGTCAGTACTACAGCTGTAAATAATGATTGAAAAAAGTTAAGCAGAGGAGACTTCATCACTGACTATAGAATTAAATTTTGATTAAAAGTTGTCAGCTGCAATATACTTTGAGATTTTCCTAGAGAATAAATGCTTAGTAAGTTATTCAGGTATGCACAAATACAGTTACATAGATTATCATATATAGCAGCATGTGTAAAGAACCTAGGATAACCCAAAAAAGTCAGAGTGACAGCAAGGAAATGAGTGAGCTACTCAAGTCCCAATATGACTCGGTTTTTAGAGAGGGGCAGAATTTGGCACACTCAAATCCATCTGATAATACCATGATGCCAAATGACTTCGAAAAGGTGATGACATGCCCATGCACTCTGCCCAAGGCCCAGACTCATGGACCTCCATGTTCATAAAGAACTGCAAGAAGCCCCTATCATGTGCTTTTAACATCCTATGGAGAGGGAGCATGGACACAGGGGTTATCCCACAGCTGCTAAAAACAACAGACATAGCCCCACTTCACAAAGGGGGCAGTAAAGCAACAGCAAAGAATTACAAACCAATAGCACTAACGTCTCATATTATAAAAATCTTAGAAATGGTTCTAAGAAGCAAGATCGCCACCCATCTCAATACCCATCAGTTACACAACCCAAGGCAACATGGGTTTAGAGCAAGTCACTCCAGCATAAATTCTCATACATAGCAGCATATGTTTAAATTACCCAGGATAATTAAAAAAAGTCAGTTACTAATTTCCATTGGGGTCCTTGTCACTGACTTTTTTAGGTTATCCTAGGTAATTAACTGTATATACTATAATTGTACTTATGTGTATCTGTGCCTAAATAAACTTACTGCTGCCCCAGCAGTTCACCTGGCAGTAAAATAGATTCCTAATAGTTAGTACTATGGTAGGTTGCATCATGGGGAAGGTTTATTAACAACCAAGGGTAAATAATTTGAATAATGTGTTTTACTGAATGGTAAATGTGATATCCAGCGTTGTCACTCACGGAGCTCTCGTGTAACACACATGTTAGTTATCCTATAAGTGAGGGGGGAGTGTGCCTTACTTTGGGAGTGATTTATTGTAGGGCAGTGACTTACTCTAGGACTGACTTACTAAAGAAACCCGACTTACCGTAGGAATGTGACTTACCAAGATGTGAGTTACAGCAGGAATGAGGTGTGAATGAGGGTGGCGTGGTGTATGTGAGGTGCAGGAATGTGTTGGATCAATCACACTGCTGCTGCTGCTGCTGCTGCTGCGGGAGGTTGACTCACTGTTAACATTCCCAGTTGGGTCTCACACCTTTACTAAATTTGCTGCCTTTACATTTATGTGAGAATTACAATGGCATATTATACACACGGAATAACCTTGACTCCATCAGTTTTCCCACAATGGAGGTTAGGCTAATTGGTCAATAGATTTTTTTTAGATTTTGCCACCTAAGGGGCTAGTTTATTGTGCATCCTATATCCATCCTTTGGAGGGCAGCTCAAGAGTATATGGATATACAAAAGGCCTAGGAATTAGGCCCCAAAAGGTTAACAGGTGTACATTTTGATTTATATCTACATATCTACAGTTCACTTATCTGTTACAAGCAAATTTAGGAAATTTGCTTAGTATATCTGGTATCTTATTTTCATTAATAAGATACCTTGACATGTCACATAGGTTGTTATACTGTCTGTCTCTGTATTCCTCAATAGTATTCAAGAAAGTGACTATATGCATGACCACATAATTTGCATTTAATTCGAAGCTAACGAACTATCTGCTTTGTAGATATGTATCACATTTGCCATATTCCACTTATCTTACACTATACCAGTTTGTAGTGATGTTGAAAAAAATAGCTAATGGTTTGCTAATTTCCTCTTTACCTTCCTTTATAACCCCTGAGAACAGTTAAGATAAGATAAGATAAGATTTCGTTCGGATTTTTAACCCCGGAGGGTTAGCCACCCAGGATAACCCAAGAAAGTCAGTACGTCATCGGGGACTGTCTAACTTATTTCCATAGGCCTCCAGCAGCATGACGAAGTTAATGAATTAGCTAAATACTCATTAAGTAAAGAGAATGTTGAGTAATTTTTTTTTTCAAACAAGTTTGCGAAGCATTGTCAGAAAGGAACTAGCCAACAAACTTGAAAAAAGTAGAATTATAGATATGAACCAGCAGATCCATTATCCATAATGAAATGTGTCGAATTAAACATCTATGGAAAAAGTAACTAGGCCAGTAATTACCATATATTATTATAGCTAGACTAAGGCTAGGTTATAAGCATCTCCAGCAAGACGGTTTGTATGGAGATGTCAATGACAAAATGCAAAGTGTGTTGACAGTCAGGGCCATACACTGGAGCATATCTTAATGCTCTGTGGAAAATAATGTATTTTCCGAAAAATCCAGCATGTATTTTTTATGAAAATTAGTGTAATACATTGTATTTAATAAAAATTAATTTGTAAATGAAAACGAGAATCAAGAGGGAAGCTCTGCGCCTGCACTGGGGGGCAGGGGGGAATCGCCATTGTTTTATTGAATGTGGTACAAGCACGTTAGTGTAATGTGCTTAATTTTCGTCGCTCTAGGGGTTATATTGGGCTTAAAACTTCTCAAATAGGAGCCGAAATTGTTGGATGTGCAGTCCTGCATAACTTGAATATTAAGTAGATGGGCAGGACAGCTCCAGGAACCTCAGATAAGCTATTTAAATTATGTTTGTAATTCTGGCCAGTATTATCATCATAAATTTGGGTAGAGGGGGGTTCTGTACATGACACAGTAATCTCCAGACTAATTGGTGAGTGTTATGATTATAGATTCTCCTTCTGTTATATAAATGTGTATATGTAATCATTTATTAATTTTAATATACAGTCCACATATTTGTATTAAATTTTACCAGAATTCCTGGTGATGTACATTTCATTTGCAATTAATATAGGTCTAGAGCAACTTGTGGAGAGATAAATGGTAGGTATCGAAGGGGGACATTTTTTGCGACCTAGGTGTCCTAAAAATTCCTACTTGTCTCTCTGTAACTTTGATAAATAATAATTATCTTTGTTACCATTTACTTGTATGTATCTAATGAGATACATCCAGGTAAATGTAATTTTCCACATGCTCATTATTATTATTATTATTATTATTATTATTATTATTATTATTATTATTATTATTATTATTATTATAATCATAACTAAGCGTTAAACCCATAAGGGTCATACAGCGCTGCTTAGAGTCCAAACATCCAACCTTTCAGAGATACCTCCATGCAAACCTTACATATGGGAAAAGCCTTCATTGTTAATGATTAAATTATTTGAAATCTTGAGGTTGTATCACATTTTGCATAGACTAGATGAATGAGCACTTTTTGTAGAGATTTCAACACAGTTACGACCAAAGGTTTTTTAGTGGTAATAATTTTGAGACTTCCTACTGTTTGTGTATATTAACACTATGAAGTAATTGTAAAATATTAAATGTCTATTATTTCTTTCCAGTGATGTAACAATGCCCAGTGGTGTCTGACAAAGACCCAGTGTGACCTCAGTAATCCTGTATTTTGCTCTACCACTCACAGGATGCACTGCTGGTGTACAATAAACTAGCCTAAGGCGGCACAACTAAGTCTATCAGGGCACGGTGATGTTTTCTGTATCAAGTGTTGGACACAATACATACAACCGAGGAAGAAGTGAAGAGGCTGCTAAGCAAGCCTCAAAGGCGATGGGGCCGGATAACATCTCTCCATAGGTCTTGAGAGAGGGAGCAGAGGCACTATGTGTACCACTAACAACAATCTTCAACACATATCGAAACAGGGCGACTACCTGAGGTATGGAAGACAGCAAATGTAGTCCCAATTTTTTTAAAAAAGGAGACAGACATGAAGCATTAATCTACAGACCAGTGTCACTGACATATATAGTATGAAAAGTCATGGAGAAGGTTATCAGGAGAAGAGTGGTGGAGCACCTAGAAAGAAATGAGCTTATCAACGACAGCCAACACGGTTTCAGGGACGGGGAAATCTGTCACAAACCTACTGGAGTTCTATGACAGGATGTCAGCAATAAAACAAGAGACAGAGAGAGGTGGGTAGATTGCATTTTCTTGGACTGTAAGAAGGCGTTTGACACAGATTCACAAAAGATATTAGTGCAAAAGCTGGAGGACCAGGCAGGGATAACAGGGAAGGCACTGCAATGGACCAGGAAATACCTGTCAGGAAGACAACAGTGAGTCATGGTAAGTGGCGAGGTATCAGAGTGGGCGTCTGTGACGAGCGGGGTTCCACAGGGGGTCACTCCTAGGACCAGTGCTGTTTCTGGTATTTGTGAACGACATAACGGAAGGAATAGACTCACAATTGTCCCTGTTTGCAGATGATGTGAAGTTGTGAGAAGAATTTAATTCAACGAGGACCAGGCAGAACTACAAAGGAATCTGGACAGGCTGCAGGCCTGATCCAGCAACTGGCTCCTAGAGTTCAACCCCCACCAAATGCAAAGTCATGAAGACTGGGGAAGGGCAAAGAAGACTACAGACGGAGTACAGTCTAGGGGGCCAGAGATTACAAACCTCACTCGAGGAAAAGGCTCTTGGGGTGAGTATAGCACCGGGCACATCTCCTGAGGCGCACATCAACCAAATAACTGCTGCAGCATACGGGCGCCTAGCAAACCTAAGAACAGCATTCCGACATCTTAATAAGGAATCGTTCAGGACCCTGTACAGTGTGCATGTTAGGCCTATATTGGAGTATGCAGCACCAGTTTGGAACCCACACCTAGCCAAGCACAAAGAAGATAAGATTTCGTTCGGATTTTTAACCCCGGAGGGTTAGCCACCCAGGATAACCCAAGAAAGTCAGTGCGTCATCGAGGACTGTCTAACTTATTTCCATTGGGGTCCTTAATCTTGTCCCCCAGGATGCGACCCACACCAGTCGACTAACACCCAGGTACCTATTTGCTGCTAGGTGAACAGGACAACAGGTGTAAGGAAACGTGTTGAAATGTTTCCACCCGCTGGGAATCGAACCCGGGCCCTCCGTGTGTGAATTTGGGGCTTTAGCCACCAGGCTACCTGGAGTACCTGGAGAGAGTTCCGGGGGTCAACGCCCCCGCGGCCCGGTCTGTGACCAGGCCTCCTGGTGGATCAGAGCCTGATCAACCAGGCTGTTGCTCCTGGCTGCACGCAAACCAACGTACGAGCCACAGCCCGGCTGGTCAGGAACCGACTTTAGGTGCTTGTCCAGTGCCAGCTTGAAGACTGCCAGGGGTCTGTTGGTAATCCCCCTTATGTATGCTGGGAGGCAGTTGAACAGTCTCGGGCCCCTGACACTTATTGTATGGTCTCTTAACGTGCTAGTGACACCCCTGCTTTTCATTGGGGGGATGTTGCATCGTCTGCCAAGTCTTTTGCTTTCGTAGTGAGTGATTTTCGTGTGCAAGTTCGGTACTAGTCCCTCTAGGATTTTCCAGGTGTATATAATCATGTATCTCTCCCGCCTGCGTTCCAGGGAATACAGTTTTAGGAACCTCAAGCGCTCCCAGTAATTGAGGTGTTTTATCTCCGTTATGCGCTCCGTGAAGGTTCTCTGTACATTTTCTAGGTCAGCAATTTCACCTGCCTTGAAAGGTGCTGTTAGTGTGCAGCAATATTCCAGCCTAGATAGAACAAGTTTGCAAAGGTTTGCAATAAGACTAGTCCCGGAGCTGTGGGGCATGTCCTACGAGGAGAGGTTAAGGGAAATCGACCTGACGACACTGGAGGACAGGAGAGATAGGGGGGATATGATAACGACATATAAAATACTGAGAGGAATCAACAAGGTGGACAGAGACAGGATGTTCCAGATATGGAACACAGCAACAAGGGGTCACAGTTGGAAGTCGAAGACTCAGATGAATCACAGGGATGTTAGGAATTATTTCTTCAGTCACAGAGTTGTCAGGAAGTGGAATAGTCTGGGAAGTGATGTAGTGGAAGCAGGATTCATACATAGCTATAAGAAGAGGTATGAAAAAGCTCATGGAGCAGGAAGAGTGACCTAGTAGCGACCAGCGAAGAGGCAGGGCCAGGAGCTGTGAATCGACCCCTGCAACCACAACTAGGCAAGTACTGACAGATCAAGCGGTAAATGATTATGGGCATTAAACAGGGCGGATAGGGACAGACTTGAAAATGCGAGTAACTAGTGCCAGGGGGCACAGGTTAGGTTAGGTAAGGTTCGTCAGGAAACAGGACAAATGTTTCCTGACGCACAGAGTTCTTTTATTGTGCTACAT